TTATAGCAGGCGTCGCTGCTAATGACGTACCCTTAGGAACTTTGATGAATGGGGGACTTCAAAATCGAAATTTTCAAAATTCTAGATAAACCATGTTATAGAACTCGAGGAGTTGAGTTCAACCATATAGCACACTATATACAAAAACTGTAAATCAACCTAGTTACAGAGAAAAAACGAAAAAAACGCGAAAACGCGCTTTTTTCGTGTTTTTTTGAACATTTAGGGTGGGTATTGTATAGATGTGCTTCAATATTATAAAAGCTGTGTCATTTTTGCTGTTCAGTGTTAATTACCTCTTTCAACGACAAACCAGTATAATTCTAGGGTTCACATTGATATCCGGGAGATCGCACCTCCCATTGCGTGCGCTCGCTTTCAGAAGAATAGTGAAGTGATCTTGAGAATGTCTTCGTTAATCTAGAAGAAGTAGACGATGATCTGACAGAAACCAAGTGAAGTGAAATCTTAAGGCTATTCTAAGGACGGTTTCTTGGATTCAGATTTACAATGAAACGATGACAGCGCTTTTCAAAATTCCTCAGAATCACTATGCAGACGCTAGTTGCTTGAGCTTAAAATCCTTGATGAGTACAGAAAATGGGAGCCAACTATTCGGCGAGCTTGAGGAAGAATCTAAAGTACTGTACAATTAACGTTATTTCATATATTTCTGAAAGTAGAAGAGTAGAAGAGGGAAATGATTCGCTTATGGAATCAGATCTTTAATGCATTATGCTACATCAGTACGATGACCGGTTGTAGTAGTTTAGAAAGAGTCCAGTTTTAGGAAGCACTAGCCCTTCATTGCAGTGTAGCCCTACTGTTCGCTGTCGACTCTCTGGGGACGGTCAAGTCGTGCGTCCGAAGGCGCGCGCGGCAAATTGCGCGGCGGAATTCATACCTATTCTGACGACTGCAGCGCCTATTATTTGAGCCAAATTTTGGAGTACAGTAGAGTAGTAGGATCAGTTGACCTTACTAATCTAGCTTGCTTCAGATTTGGGCTTCAATGATAGGCGCCGGAGTCGTCCAATTTCGCCACGAACCTCGCCACGCAATTTGCCGCGCGCGCCCTCGGACGCACGACTTGACCCTCACTCTCGACTCTCTGATTGAAACGCTCTCTGTGACAGTACTAGGCCGTTGAATTTACTTCAGAAGAGTGAATCCTCAAACATGAATACACATATCAGACAAATCACTCGTTCATACAGGCAGGCAGTCGATGCTGAGAAGAAGAGCTTCTGATTCAACTTATCATTGACTATTCCATAAAAAGTAGATTAGCTGCATATACAGAGTAAACATAATGAACTGGCAGTACGGAGTTGATAACGTTGACAATGAAAGTCTTAAACAATGAGGAATTCCTCATTTAAAGTGAGCAATAAAATTACTGATTTCCATTAGAAGAAAAATTCAAATGATACACAAGGCAAATCATGATACAAAGAGGTTGGCAACTCCCCTTTACAATATTTTTCCACAGACAATTCCATCCCGATACGTCTATCCCTTACTCATTTACCTAAGACAGATAGAATCAATTGAACGAAAATTTGTCCAGGAAATAGAACACAAATTCACAGAAGGACGAGCGAAAGTTAAAGGCACTGTTCACGAAAAAATGGTTTCGGAGATTTGCACATGGTTTGAATTCGACGCCCCCTCTGATACCATTTGTGCAGGAATGAGGTCGGAAAACGGTCTGGATAGGGCACAATAAGAGCAGGAACAGTGGGGGACGGGAGGCCTCCGCCCCTCGCTAGGCTGACTACGAAATCTAATTGCCGTTCATCACTTTCGCATTGGGCGAAGTTGTCTGCTTGGGTGTGTTGTCTGCTATTGCAGACATTGCGTCGCCTTCCTGCACTCGCCCGAACACTCCCTTAACCGCCGTTCTTCCAATGTGAAACTCGTCCAACCCCCCTTTCCAGCTCTTTTTTGACCCTTTCTATTTCTTTTTGTTCATCGTTTTTGCGCTTTTTTCGTTGTTATCGCTTTATTCTAGAGTAGTTCTATGAATTCCCGTCAAAAAAGGGTACCCTAAATTTATCGTAAACGGTGCCTTTAAGCTCAATGAGAAATGCAACGAAAACAACATTCATCGCTCAAATTATTACAACTCTTGAAATGATAAAAGTAATCATAAGCCATTGATTTATGCTGACGTTGGGCTTATTTTTTCATTTCTCAGTTCGATAACAGGTAAGGAAGACCAGACCTGGTTCCCATCAAGAAGGATCTCGGGAGCCTGTGAAGAGCCAATAAATGCTACAGAAAAATTCTGCAAATGTTAATATTCAACTTACGAGATGTTCAAGGTCAGCCACTTTTGCCTCTCTTAGACTCCACTCCCTGATGAAAAAGTCCTTGTCATTGTCTCCAACTAAGCGTGTATCACATACACTGAAAAATATTTGTTGAAAAACCTAAACCTGAGTCAAAAGCACCGATATAGCGAGCACAATGACGAAAAACTTTGTTGTACGGGAGCAGATCCTCCACAACGTAAATTAACTTTTACGATTTTGATTCATTTGTCGGATCAACGGCTAATGTCGAGTTCCCCTTTTTCGCTGTTGAATTTGGTCTGCCGCCTGCACCGCTTCCAAAGCTGAATGCTGGATCCAACATAACAAAGAATATGAATATCTCCCCAAACACACATAAACCGCAACCGATACATGAGCCGAGTGCTGCTAGAGTCACTGGAATTATATTCCCTTTATCAATGATACCGCCACTTATGAGTTTCACCACAGCTCAAATTTCAGAACAGTTCACGGAAAAGCTCAATATGTATTAGGTGTTTCAGAAAGTTCTGTCATTTTTCAACGCTCAACTTTCAATGCACGTATCTCGGCACAAACAGAACTTTATCAATCAATATAAGAACCATTATTATACACATACCTCTGCCAACAGTAATAAGTTTGCCTATCCCGGTTGCGTAGAACTCTGGATATCTAGAAGCTATGAGTTCAGTGAGATAGATTTGACATCGTGTCGATTGTTGAAGGGTTGCTCTCGGAGGAAGTTGTCGAGAGTAATAAGTTTGCCCATCCCGGTTGCGCAGAACTCTGGAGATCTAGAAGCGATGAATTCGGTAAGGTGGATTTGAAATCGTATCAATTGTTGAAGCGTTTCTCTCGGAGGAAGTTGTCGAGATGCTTAAAAAAGTGGTAGTCGCTTGGAGCGAGGTCAGGTGAGTACGGTGGGTGTGGCAGAGTTTCATAGCCAAGCTCGTTCAATTTCTTCAGGGTAGTCTGTCCGACATGGGAGCGCGCTTTGTCGTGGAGAAGGATCGTCCATTCCTAATCACCAGTCCAGGGCTCATGAGCTGCAGCTTCCGATGCATTTCGTCGATATACTGGCAGTATCTTTCAGCTGTGATAGTTGATAGATGATCCAAAAAGCTGTGATGGATTAGACCAGCCGTTGACCACAGAACTAGCACAATCACTGTCTTTGAGACTCGTCGGTTACGGAATTTCTCGAACATCGCTGTGCAGTACGTACATTTGTTGTTCTAGGACCAAACGCTAGGTTGATATCTCGAGCCGTGTCCGCTGCATTCCTGTCTAGTTTGAATAGGAAAAGGAAGATGGTGCGAACTTGTCGTTTGTCCATGCCTTTTCCAAGCCTCTGCAAAAGCTAGGAAGTCACTATGAGGCAAAGCTGATACAATAGTCAGGAAGAGCAAGAAATGCGCTTCCAAATGGTATACTACATTGAAGCAGAGCAACGAAAAGTAACTCAGAAAAGAGCGTCTAAAAGTAGACAATCCAAAAACGACAGAACATTCTGAAACACCTAATATTAATATGGCTCTGAGTGTAGTGCATTCGGAGTGTAACTTGCAGAGCAACAGCAACAGGAGAACATGGACCATTTCCCCCTTCATTTTTTTCTCAGAAAACGTCACTTTGCACACTTTTCAAAATGATACAGCCACCTCATAGTTTCCTGTCGCGCTTTTCCACTTTACTCAGTTGCTTCACTTGTGTAATGTTTTCCATTTTTAGGTAAAGGGTAAAGGAGAGTTGCTATCCAAATTCGAGAAAGGACGAATTTTTGCAGAGAAGGAACAGGGACTGTTGAATCGTAGATTCGCTCGAGATTTGGGCCGATGCCATGCGGTTGTCGGCAATTTCGTCAAGAATCCTGCAAGGTGTAGGACCAAAAGGAGTACGGGACGTCCTTCATTACTTTCGGAAGGAGACAACCGAAAGAGAGAAGCGTCGAATACCAATAAGTCGTGCACGAAAATCAAATCCTCATTGGAGCTCGAGGATTGCTGTATGGGACGTGATGAATAAGTCTGAATTCACTGTCGGACGAAAAATGAGGAAGGCAGATTAATTGATGGCCGTAAAGCATCGCGATAACCAGGCCTTTGTGAGGAGTTGCATCCGAACATGTAGTAAAGTGCCTTCCACGTCCTCTTGTTTTCTCTTCCACATCTTGGTGTTTCTCTCTCAAGGAAGTTCTTTCCGAAGAAAAAAAAACTTCAACTGTGATGGTCCAGAAGGCAACCGGTTCCACTAGCACGATCCGAGAAAGGATAAGCTTAAGTTTCCCAGGCGAAATTCCAAAGGAGTCATGGTATGGGCAGCAATTTCATCCTCCTCACAACCTCGTGTTCACGGAGGGTAACGCCCCGATTCATGCCAATGCCAGGCTTAGCACCCAGACCTATTTTGGTCGGCAGCAAATCGACCTTTTGCCAGGCTATTAGTCCTGACTTGAATTCAATGGAAAACGTATGGGGAAGACATGGTAAGGAAGTCTTATCCTACTTAATATAATTCGCTAAGTGTGTCTGTTGGTGTGTCGGTCTGTTTGTGTGTGTGTGTGATTGTTTGTGTGTGTGTCGGTGTGTGTGTCTGACCGGAAATTCATAACTCCTGTCCCCGTGGACCTAAAGCGTTCAAATTTGGTAGGAGTAAGGGGGGCAGGATGGGAACACCTATGGTAGGTGGCAGGACCAGACTCCACCCATAGGGGGCAGGTCGTGCGCGGTAGAAATTTTAGGTCGTAAATTCATAACTCCTGCTCCAGTAGACCCAAAGCGTTCAGAATTGGTAGGAGTACAGGGGGCGGCATGGGTACACTTATGGTGGGTGGCAGGACCGGACTTCATGCACAGGGAGCGAGGCGTGCGCGATAGCAATTTTGGGCCGCAAATTTATAACTCCTGTACCCGTGAACCGAGAGCTTTCAAACTTGGTAGGAATACGATGGGCAGGATGAAAACACTCATGGTGGGAGGCGACATCGGATTCCGTGCACAGGGGGGGGGG